TCTAAATGCATGGCATAGTTTGGCCCAACTTATAAGAGCACTATATATTTTGCTCTTTTTTTTATAATAAAATAGCTTTAAGTCCTGTTGTAATTTTGATTATGTAAATCCTTTAATCTTTAAAGCAATAACTCAGCTCAAATTTTGATAACTTTAAAAATTTTTTATAACCGACTAAATACCAAATATTGAAATATTTCTATAAACTCAACCCAATTTCGGCAAACAATATTACTCTAAACACTAAATCCAACCATGTGCTCAGAGTTTACTATCATACACTTTGAACAATATTTATATAAATTTATAAGTTGACAATCATATGAAATATAGATTGTACAATATATTGATGCTAGTTTAAGTTTGTGCTATTTTTTAAAAAAAAGATTTATTGGCATTAGTAGTTAAAAAAAAATAGATTAAATATTAAAAGTTATCTAATTGGCAAACTCTTTCTAAATTTTTTTATTCATTGCTAAACCTCTGTATTTGCACTTAGTTTTACATTGCAATCATTTTATATTTCTGAAATTTATGTTTTACACAGTGGATCTTTTAGAACTAAATATATTTTTCTATTTCAGTAAATACCTAAATTTTTATAAGCAAAGAAAAATAATCAATAAAAATAAATTTTTTGAGAATCACATCAAAAAATCTAAATAAATTATACCGGGAATAATTCTCCACTTTACAATTTCACAGTATCTATCCCAATCTTTTTTATATTTATTCCTACATTTTTCTTCATCCCTAAATTCTCGATGAATTAATAATACTGCAAAATATACAACATAAAAGTATGGTATAATATCATCAAATCCTAAATAATTTTGAAAGTAGTAAATATTATTTATAGTTTGTGATTTTTTAAAAAAAATAGATTCATCTATTAAGATATTATTTACCACAAAGCAAACACCAAGCCCATGAAATTAACCAGTCACCTATATTAGAAGCAAGATTTATATAAACTTACAAAATCATTACAAAAATAAGCAACAAAATTATATAGAATTAGAGCAAACCAAGATAATTTATATGCCTTGCTCTTCCCCACCATCCAGATATAATTAATCTTGAACCGGCCTCAGTTGTTATATATTTTAAATCTGTTTCATCATACCATAACATTATTATTATTGATTCCATTATTCAACTAAGTATAACAAACAGAATGGATAAAAAGAACATACGCTTAACTCTCGGATCTTCAGGATTATTCCTAAAATAATTTTTTTCATTATTTGCACCTCTAAATATCGCATATCCAATGGCTTGCAGACAAATTATAAATGTAATTTGGAGCCGAGATAAATGAACAGGATGCAAAGCAAGATATCTTGCTTGAAGAGCATATAAAAACCCAACCCATGTAAAATTTCCAAATGACAACATCCAACCAAAGCCATCTGTAGTGATATCCATTGTTGTTAAAACTGCAGGCTGATATAAATTTAAGTGATAATATAAAATAATTTAGTTTATAAATTTTAAAAATATTCAAAATAATAATATTGCTTTACCTCATTGTAAACAGCATCAATACAATACCACCCTTGAAAAATTAAGATTAAAAACATTCCAATTGTGACATACCCAAGTTCATGATATTGTTTAATGGCCATGGCTATATTTACAACAGTCCAACAAATTAAACCTGGTCGAAGTTCCACAAAACACTTAATATCGAATGATCCAATACGTGGATTCAATTCTCGACCAATCATAAACTTTCAATCAAAAAAAGAAATATTATGTAAATAATTTCTTAGTAAGCAATTTAAAATATATATATATCTTACATCATAAATAATATTTCCAGAATTTCCACCAAGCGCTAATAATTTTCCTTCTTGAAATGAAGCTAAATAAACGTATAACGAAAGGATGAAAGCCACAATAATTGAAGAGGTAATTAAACCGATAAAATGATCATCAATGAATAAAAGAGGTTCATGTCCTTTAGTATTTAGGATGGAAATAATTATAAATAATGTTAATATCATGCTATAAAATCCATTCACTTTGTATTTTAATTTTGAGCCATCACGAAGCTGAGTTCCCTCAACCCAATGACCTGGTATTAAGTAATAGATTATAACTAAATAGGCCAAATAAATCATGTAGGCAAAAAAAGCGGTTAGATCAAATAATGACAAAATGTTGGATAAAGTAAATAAATTTTTAAGGTTATTAATATCGGACAGATAGATAATGAGAGCACGAGATGGATTGTCATCGAATTGACAGCTTAAATGCAAAACGCAAGTAAGAATTGGAAGTACTGTAATCATTAGAAATGCACCAATTGGCCCTAAAAACTCATATTTCGTAGTTTTTGGGTTCAAAACCGATTCATTTTTTGATGGCATATTTTTCTATCAAAGTTTATTAAGAAATGTAAATTATTGCTCTTTATATTTCTATCGATGATCGATCGTGAAATAACTTGTATCACAAATTTGCATTTTATCGATTTTTTTTCTCGGAAATCAACCAATTAGAATCTATATCATATATATGTAAAGGTTTGCACGATTGTCATGGTGTGTCGTCTGTCAAACAATTCGAATAAGAACTAGTGTAAAAAAATCAAAAACACAAGAACTCATTAGGGGGCATCCATAATTTACGTTAGACCAATATTGTTATAGGGATATTAAAGATAATCATCCAAGGTCTATTTCTATACAATTTAGCTAAATTATGATACCCCCTTATGCAAAATAGAGTCAGAAAAGATGTTATTTTATGATGAATTTTTGTAGGAATTTTTTTTTTAAAAAAAAAAACTTAAAACCGGTTTCTATAAAGAATTTTACCAATTACAAGCAGATTTGCATACTTATTAAAGAAAATACAGTAAAATCTGAGTTAAAATTCTTAATTTGAGTAAAGATATCTTAATAAGTATCTAACCAAATTGATAAAAAATTTTTTTATTCAAATTCTACTATTTATAAAGTTTGAATAAATATTTCTCGATAAAAATTTTTTATTTTTAATTTTATGAATTCACAATTAAAATAAAAAATTCTCGTCAAATTTGGATAGTTGGTTGTCGAGAAATCTTTTTTAAAGTTAAAAGAAGAAAAATTCAATGAACTTTTTTTTTTATTTTAATTCCACAGATCGAGTAGTTATTGAGAAAACATCGTTAGAAGTTTTAAAAAACTTTCGAATTTATTAATAGTATGTATGTAACACAGATCCGTGATGGCGAAAATTAAGATCTCCCCATAGATTTCCCGATGTATCATGTGTAATAATTTAGCCAATAAATGTATAAAAATTATGTAGTAAAAAAAGATCAATTTTCTCTCTCTTCCGATCTATCCATTTGTGCTGATTTGACAATGGTAAGTGTACTGAGCAATGGACAATTTACAGAGGACAATTAGTACAAAGTGTATAATTTTTAGGTGTTGTTCTTTTTAATATGCCTTGAATACAAAATAATTCATTTAATTCGAATTCCTATGAAAAAAAAAAAAAAAAAAATAGACCACAAAAAGAAGAAATCACGGGCGTAACAAACACGGACGTGGTCATGTCAAGCCAGTGCGGTGTTCCAACTGCGCTCGTTGCGTGCCCAAAGTGACTTTAATTCTATTTTTTTGTTGATCCACTAAAACATGTACGATTTTAATCAATGATTTGGATAATATGAATTAGGACAAGGCGATTAAACGCTTCACTGTTCGTAACATGGTCGAAAGCGCTGCTGTTCGTGATATTACCGAAGCATCTGTCTATGACGGTATTTATATTTAATATTTACTAAATAATTATGAATAATTTTAATTATAAAGTAAAATTAAAAGATTTAATTTTCTTAATGTTACATCAATAAAAATTAGAATATGCCCTCCCAAAATTGTACATCAAATTACATTATTGCGTTTCTTGTGCGATTCACTCTCATGTTGTTAGGGTCAGATCGCGTCAAGGTCGTCGTAATCGTGCGCCACCTCCAAGAGTTCGTTATAACAAGGTACGTTATTTTGACAAAAAAATATCTTTGTTCATGTATATATATAACCTTGCATATTAAATATTTTTATAGGATGGCAAGAAAATTAATCCAAATGTTACGCAAAAAGCTACTACATGAAATACAATAAAAGTTTTTTCTAAAAATTCTGTTTTCTTCAATATCTTTAGTAACGAATTTAGTTCAAT